TTTTTTTAAAAAAAATAGATTATTCGTCCGGGGGGGGGGGGAGACGGGAGACGAATAATACGGGAGAGTTACAATGCTCCCTTTATCTTCCCGTGACACCCGAAGCGTTGCAAAACCATCTGGAGCCGAGCCCGGTTTTTCTGGCAGGAACCGATCCAAGAACGATGGCTTTGATGCCGGAATATTCCTTTTTTGGGCGCTGGGCCATTCTCGGCTTTTGTTCCTGGTTCGGTTGAAGCCAAAGGAGACCAGGAACGCCGTGAAATAAAGACAAAGAAACAGAGAGGAGGGCCGGCAATTTCTACCGTCACCTGGGCCTTTCCCCCCAATTCGGTACAGGTAGTCCTCAACTTACGACCTCAGTTGAGATCAGAACTTCGGTTGCCCGGCGAAGCAGCTGTTCAGTGAGATACTCTCGATTTTACAACCTTTCTTTCCCCCCTCCCCACGGTTGTTAAGTGAATCACTCTGGTTGTGAATTGAATTCAGGTTCCGGCCATTTGTGGGCATTTCCCCAATTCGGTACAGGCAGTCCTCGACGTACAACCTCAATTGACATCGGAACTTTGGTTGGTTGTTCAGCGAGTCACTCTGGATTTCACAAACTTTTCCTCGTGGTTGTTAAGTGAATTGCTCTGCCCGTTAAGTGAATTCAGATTCCGCCTTTGGGCTGGGTTTTCGGTGATCACGTGACCTCAAGACACTGCTGTATATGATGGTTGCCAAGCGCCGAAATTTGGATCATGTGACCATCGGGATGTTGTGACGGTTATAAATGCGAGCACCAGTCATTAGTCATTTTTTTCAGTGATGATGTAACTTCAAACCATCGCTAAATGAACGGTCGGAAGTTGAGGACTGCTTGTATTATGCCTATCAAATTTAACTACAGGAAGTTCTCGACTTATGACTATGACGTACGTGGTTAAGCGAGACATTTGTTAGGTTTGGTGCCATTTTACCACCTTCCTTGCCACGGTTGTTAAGTGAATCGTCAATGATAAGTTAGTAACCCAGTTGTTAAGTGAATCTGGCTTCCCCATTGAAAAAATGGGATTACGTGACCCCGGGAAGGATATTGCAAAATCTCCATTCCCTCCCCACTCCAGGGAAAGGATGCTGCAAAATCCCCATTTCCGCTCCACTCCAGGGGAAGGACACTGCAAACTCTCCATCCCCTCCCCACTCCAGGGAAAGGATGCTGCAAAATCCCCATTTCCGCTCCACTCCAGGGGAAGGATGCTGCAAAATCTCCATTCTCTCCCCACTCCAGGGAAAGGATATTGCAAAATCCCCATTCCCTCCCCACTCCAGGGAAAGGATGCTGCAAAATCCCCATTTCCGCTCCACTCCAGGGGAAGGATGCTGCAAAATCTCCATTCTCTCCCCACTCCAGGGAAAGGATATTGCAAAATCCCCATTCCCTCCCCACTCCAGGGAAAGGATG